AAATAATTTGATATTTTTACAGTATGTATTCAGCTCTTTACTGTTTATAATGAATTATGTGTACTTCTATTTATGATTTTAATGTTTCTTCAGATAAGAAGTCTTTCTTTCCACAACACTGCATCATTTTATCATATTATTTTTTAGCTCTCTTGCTATTGTGTCCATTTTCAGTGTTCTATAGTGCCAAGCGGGAGCTCTGGTAGCGTAGTGCCTAAGGCACTTGACTGCTAATCAGAAGGCTGGCGGTTCAAACCCACTAGCCACTCCTTGGAAGGAAGATGGGGCAATCTACTTCCGTAGTGATACTGCCTTGGAAACCCAAGGAGGGGTTGCTATGAGTCGGGGCTGACTCAACGGCACATAACAACAACAACAACATAGTGCCAAGTAAGGAAGTCTGGTGGTGTAGTGGGTAAGGCATTTGACTGCTAACCAAAAGGTGGGTGTTTCAAACCCACCAACTGCTCCATGGGAGGAAGATGAGGCAATCTACTCACATAAAGATTTACAGTCTTGGAAACCCAATAGGGGTCACTATGTGTTGGAATCAACCAGATGGCAGTGGGTTCTTCCCTTTTTTTTAAGCTCCAAGTACCCATGAAGAATTTGTTTCTAGTACTTTTCAAATTTTTTTCTTGAACTGATTGTCTAATTTTTTTCTACCTTTTACATGCTATGTCATTTTCTTCTTACCTCCATCTCATGCCATATCTGTATACTATGTTTTTATCATATTCATACTTTGTACCTCTTTCTGTACTTTTTTATTCATTTCCAGATCCTAGTGTTCCTAATGAGATGTCCAGCAGGGTCTGGACTTGGTCTCCTCACTCCTTTCAGTGGAGGTTAGGGGAAATTGGTCAGAAGGAGAAAACCTGATGGCTGACCTTCTGCCCGTGTTTCTCCACTGTCCTCCCTGGTGGGACAAACTTTTCAGGCCATTGCCTTTTTTATAGTGCCATAAATATCTCCAATTACAGTTTTCACTTAGAAAAACATCCAGTGTTGTCACTACATACTGGTCTTTGGTGTGTGCTGTACGTGCAGTGGTAGGGGTCAGGGGCATAAAACAGTATCAGTTCTACTTGCTGTTCCCTTAACAGCTAATCATGAGCATGTTTGCTTTGAGGCCCCTTCTGTTGGTTTTCACAACCTTCAGGCTTAGTGCCCTATCAATATTATTCTCATCTACTGTAGTTGTTCTTTCTATATTTTCTCTTGTGCAGTCCAGATGGCCACTTTACTCTTTAGTCCATTCCGTTATGCTTTGATTTTTAGGTAATCCTCACAATCTATGGTCCACTAAGAACTACCTCTTTTGTTTTTCAGAAAGATTGTGTTATCTTCTTAGCTATTTGTCTTGTTTCTCCAGTGCTTGCTATTACAGAAATACCACTAATGGATAGCTTTAACAAACAAGAATTTATTCTCTTACAGTTTAGGAGGCTAGCAGTCTGAATTCAGAGTCCCTACTCTAGGGGCTGGGTAAAGGCCCCTCAACCTTGGTTTCAGCTCTGCCTCTTGTTCAAGGGCACTGAAGCAAGCTAGAGGCTTCTTGTTACTCATGCAGCTACTGGCTGCTGAGGCTGATGAACCCAAGATCAACAGGTTAAATGTCACAATTCCAAGATTGGTAGGCAACACAGCAGCCCACATGTTGAAGTCTAGGAACGGGAGATGAAGATTCAGCCAAAAGCAAGATCAAAATGTGCCAAAAAGCTCAAGACCTTTCTCCAAGCTTCTGCATATATACTGGAAGCCTACCACACCTCAAAGGCAAATAATTAGCCATTCACAGAAGATTCCACCATGGAGTTGATTACAGCACATCCAATCTCATCATGAAGAATAAGCATATCCAGCTGCCAAGCCACTCAAAACCATGGGCCAGCCAAGTTGACACACAAATTAACTACCAGACTGTCTTTCTGTTATTTCTAGAAGGTTGAAAGGGGAGAGAATCAAAGTTTTTGTAATTAAAAATGAAAGTTATCCTACTTCCAATCTACTTAGAATGGTATTAAGTTCCTTTCTAAGGGCTCTCAGTAGCCTCCCTAAGTATGTTCACTCTGTCTCTTATATTTAAGATCAAGCAGAAAGGAAAGGGTGTATTATAACACGATGATGATGTCAGTATCTGTAACTGGGAATGTTTGAGGTTTTTTAAGTAGCTAAATTCATGGCAACTATTTTCTAGGAGCCTCCACATTTTACTTTGAATGACCACTTTAGCAATACACAGCCCTTTATGTGTGTAGTCATAGAATTAAAAAAAAAAAACAAAACACTGCATTGAGTCTATTCCAACTCATAGCAACCCTGTAGCACAGGATAGAACTGCCCCATAGGGTTTGTAAGGCTATAAATCTTTATGGAAGCTGACTGCCACATCTTTCTCCCACAGAGCAGCTGATGAGTTTGAATTGATGACCTTTCCATTAGCAGGTGAGCACTTAACCACTGTGCCACCAGGGCTCCACAGTTGTGGAATAATCACATATAATGTGGCTGGCTACAACATGTTGTTTGCATTCAGTTTCCTCATAGAAAAGAGCTTCTTTTGAATAGATTTGTAGTTAGTAAAATCCAAGTCAACAAATTTTAAGATGTATAGATTTGTAGTTAGTAAATGACGAGTCAATAAATTGTAGTATATAATTTAAACAGAAATATAAAGTACTTCCCAATAAAAAGAATGATGATCTAAGACTCAAATATCAAGGCATGTGTAATCCATGTGATTTCTTTTAGTGTCACCTTCACCTCTCACTTCACCTTTACTCAGGATTGACATTGACTCTCACATCCAGAGAGGATTAAGTGTAGTATGGCAAAATTCCAGTTGTTCTCTCTGGGTCTACACCGTAGAGTTTTAGAGCTGCCATAGATTTTGAGAAAGTATGATGGCACAAGACAAGATGAGAAGAAATGAAATGAACCAGTTAGATTTAAGAGAAATAATGTTGCAGACATAACAATAGAGAACATTGGGAACATTGACAGTATGGGAAGGATGTTGTTGTTACATGCCATGGAGTTGGCATCCAGCTCATGGTGACCTCATGCACAATGGAATCAGACTATAACATGATGATGCACAGAGTTTTCATTGGTTGTTTTTTGGAAACAGGTCTTTCTTCCTAGTCTATCTTAATCTGGAAGCTCCACTGAAACCTGTTCAGCATCACAGCAACACAAAAGCCTCCAGGGACAGATGGCTAACAGGGTCAAAAAGGAGAAATAGGAGAATCTGAAAGAAATGGCATGAAGAGTTACAACAGAAGTACTTATTTTATCACCTTAACATCAGAGACAGGGTGCTTTGTATCATGTCACCTTAGGCCAGGCCACATTATTAACAGGCAGGTCTTGATGTCTGTGCACCACTGTGCCTAGTATCCACACTAGATTAGGATTCTTTGGTAGCAAGTGACAGAAGACTAATCTAAAAGAGATGTTTTTTCCCCTTACATTACTGGAAAGTCAACAGATAGCTTTAGGGTTGATCTAAGTCTTTCTCTCCTCCTTCCATCTCTGTCTTTCATCCCTCAAATTGACAGAATATTGATTTTATTTTGAAGCAGGTTTTCTCTAGTAGCTTTTGGCTAATATCCTACCATCTTGTCTGCTTCCCACCTGTTTCAGCAAAAGTCCCTCAAAAGAGGCTCAGTGATCTGACTTGGGTCACATACCATCCATGAGCCACACGTTGGTTGCATAGCATATGTGCATGGAATTGGTCTTACTGTGACCATAGAGCCTAATATATATAGTCCATCTTCCATACAGTAGCCCAAAAGCCAGTTCAATTATGTCGCACTTTGCTCAAATAGCAACTCTCTCCTCCTCTGTCTCACAATCATTTCTCGTCTCACTCAGGATAAAGGCCCAATAGTGGAACTGGCTATAAGGCTATCTGAATTCATTCCAATCCACTCTGTCTCCCATACTCTCTTCCAATCTCCTTGGCTTCCTAGATGGTCCTTGAATACTGTAGGTGGGTTCCAACTTAGAACCTTTTTACTTTCTGTTCCACCTGGAACAGTGTTTGCACAGATAACTACATGGCTCATTCTTTCACATCTTAAAGATTTTAGTGGTATTCTCTTGGCTATCTTTTTTGATATTGAATTTTTTGTACATTTCCCATATCCATTCTCTATTTGAATTATCTGCACAATTCTAACAAATTGGTTGTTCAATTTACTAACTCATTCACTATGTGAATGTAGGTGTACCCACACCAGTACAGAATACAAGATTTTGAGAGCAAACAAGCACTAGATCATTAGAACATACATAGCTAATGGGTGAATGGATATAAATCAGGATTTTTAATGGGGATGGCACAGGTAAAAGGGAAACAGTGTGTTAAGTACTATGGATACCATGTACTTACTCTATAATTTTGTTTGTATTAGGACTGTTTATAGTCCTATTTTATTTGATACCAATAGGAACCTCATTTTATTCATTACCATGAAAATAATACACAAATGGTTTATCACTTGGCTAACCAGGATTGCCATTTACTTACTCTGAAAATTTCGAGGAAATGACAGTATTTTGCTTACAAAGTTACTGACACTATTGTGTGACTTATGCAAATTAAAGTAATTCCTGAAATCACTAAACAAATTAATTATTACTACAGATGTTTATAATATCTCTAATTAAATATTTAAAACACATTATAGCTGTAATAAGGAGCTCTGCTAGTGTAGTGGTTAAAGCATTTGGCTGCTACCCATAAGGCTGGCAATTCAAACCCACTAACTGCTCCATGGGAGACATAAGAAGCAGTCTGCGTTAGTAAAGGTTTACAGCCTTGGAAATCCTATGGGGGCAGTTCTACTTTGTCCTTTGGAGTCACTAGGAGTCAGAAGCGACACGATGGCATTGGATATGGTTTGGTTTTACAGCTGTAATAGACTATTCAAGAAAATCCAAATGCAAAAGTAATTTCATTTGTTTTTGTTTTCTTGCTGTAGGGAATCATGGACATTGAAGCATATTTTGAAAGAATCGGGTATACAGACTCTAGGAGGAAATTGGACTTGGAAACATTAACTAACATCCTTCAACACCAGATCCGAGCCATTCCCTTTGAGAACCTTAACATCCATTGTGGAGAACCAATGGAGTTGGGTTTAGAGCCCATTTTTGATCAAGTTGTGAGGAGGAAATGAGGTGGGTGGTGTCTCCAGGTCAATCAACTCCTGTACTGGGTTCTGACCACAATGGGCTTTCAGACCATAATATTGGGAGGTTATGTTTACAGCCCTCCAGCTGACAGATATAGCAGAAGTATGAGTCACCTCCTGTTACAAGTGACCATCGATGGCAGGAAATACATCGTGGATGCTGGGTTTGGATGCTCCTATCAGATATGGCAGCCTCTGGAGCTAATTTCTGGGAAGGATCAGCCTCAGATACCCTGTATCTTCCACTTGAGAGAAGAGGGAGGAATGTGGTACTTGGATCAAATCAGAAGACAGCAGTACATTCCAAACCAAGAATTTATTAATTCTGATCTCCTGGAAAAGAATAAATACTGCAAAATATACTGTTTTACACTTGAGCCTCGAACAATTGAAGATTTTGAGTCCGTGAATACATATCTTCAGACATCTCCAATATCTTTGTTTACAAGCATATCTTGTTGTTCCTTGCAGACACTGGAAGGAGTTCACTGTTTAGTAGGCTTCACCCTTGCCTCTCGAAGATTCAATTATAAGGATAATATGGATTTGGTAGAGTTTAAGACCCTGAATAAGGATGAAGTTCAAGAGACGTTGAAGAATCTGTTTAATATCTCCTTGGAGAGAAAGCTTGTGCCCAAACATGGTGACTACTTTTTCACCATTTAGAGGAAGAAGCAAAAAAACAAAGAAAGAAAACTTTTTTCAGTATTACTTCAGATTCTAAAAGTTTTTATTTGGAAAGTTAAAACATGCACAAAATTAGAGAAAATACACTACTGAACATATCCTATGTATTAATCACCCAGTTTGTCAACTATCAACTGATGGCCAATCATATTTTCATCTATTCCCTCAGATTATTTTGAAGGAAATTTGAAACATAAAATCATTTCATCCATAAAAATTTCAATGTATATCATTAAATAATGACTTTAAAAAATGTAACTACACATCTTCTCAAAATTAATAGTAACAGTTTAAAGAATAGCCTGAGAGTTATCTTGGAAAACATTGTGAAATTAACTAGAAAACAATGTTTCAATTACATTCTGTGAATATTCAATTCACATAAAATGTTTACCTTTGATTGGCTAAGGAGCTCTGGTGGCATAGAGCCTAAGGCATTTGACTGCTAACCAGAAGGTTGGAGGTTCAAATCCACCAGCTGCTCCATGGAAAGAAGATGGGCCAATCTGCTTCCATAAAGAATTTACCACCTTGAAAACCCAATGGGGGAGTTATAAGTCAGAATTGACTTGATGGCAGTGGGTTGATTGGTTAAATAAGATATCGAGAAAATCATTTCCATTAAATTCAACCAGAATTTATCCCATGTCTACTTTTTGAACAAGGGAGACTGAAAAAGAGTTGATGCTTTTGAGTGGTGGTGTTGGTGAAGAATACTGAAAGTACCAGAAGAATGAGCAAATCTGTCCTGGAAGAAGTCCAGGTGGAAGGCTCCCTGGAAGTGAGAATGGCCAGACTTCTCACCTACTTTGGTTATGTTGTCAGAAGGGACCATTCCCTGGAGAAGGAGTCATACTTGGTAAAGTGGAAGGTCAGTGAAAAAGGGGAAGACTGTCAACAGCAAGTATTGACACAGTGGCTGTAACGATGGGCTCAAATATAGCAAGGATTGTGAGGATGGTGCACGACTGGGTAGTGTTTCATTCCATTGTACATAGTGTCAAATGAGTCTGAGCCAACTTGACAGAACCAAACAACAACAGCAATAATTATTCATATACTACATTTCTTGATATGGGAACACTGATAATTTGAATTTCCAACTTTCATAATTAGGCTATTGTGTCTAAAAGTAGCATTGTGTCTTATAAAACACATGTTGTTGTTGTTATGTGCCATTGAGTCAGACCCAACCCATAGCGACCCCTCCTTGGGTTTCCAGGGCAGTATCACTATGGAAGTAGATTGCCCCATCTTCCTTCCGGGGAGTGGCTGGTGGGTTTGAACCTCCAGCCTCTGGTTAGCAGTCAAGTGCCTTAGCCACTACGCTACCAGAGCTCCCATAAAACACATATAACCTATAAAATCTTAATCTGTAAAAAGTGTATTGAAAAAATATGCTGGCTAAAACAATGTGAATCACGAAGTTCCTGTTTAGAAAAGTTAGGGTATATTGAGCTAGGTGATTTTTCTGCAGTAGTCTCTCTCACCGTCCTCTTTCTTATCTCCTAGTTATATACTTTTCTTCCTTCAACACTGTGGCATAAGAGAAAAAGCATGAATTTTGAAGTGTATAGATCTGAGTTCAAATCCTGTGGATACTGAGTGAATTACTGCATGAACTATACATATTTGTTATATAGATTAATGAATAATGTCAGTGATGTTTTTGGTACTAGGTCAGCATTTAATAAAAGTTCACCTTCCTCCTTGCTTTATTTTCCTCCATAGTATAACTTCTTCCATCTTGTTTTATTTCCCTGTGGCTTAAAATTAACCTATTTGTGTCTAAATAAATACCTGCTTTCTTCTTCTTTAATTAAATACTGACAAGATATTAGATGACCTGGATTTGTGAGTGTGGCTTTGTGTTTTGGTATCTAAATCTTTACTTATCTATATCTCAGATTTTCTGTTTGTGGATTCCAGAATCAGGGTTGTGGTTTAAACAGCAGACTTGTTCCTCCATTAGTCTCCCTTTCAATTTGTGGTCACAATAATAAATTAAGAGTGAAGCAGAGACTGGAATAAAGAATAAGTTAAGAGAATAAGTTGCTTTAGGACACAGATATTACATGCAGTGATGTGACAGTTGGAGGATACTGATCCTCGATGGATACCACGTTCAGTGGTAAGGAGGGATGAAAGACCCTGTTATATATTCCATTACTTTGGTATTTGACAGCTTGTCCTCTTACTTACCTGATGAGCTTGCTCAGCTCTGCTGCTCTTTTATATCAATGCTGGGTCACTTCTAGTACTCTCAGGAAGAATCTTCTTACATTCTGACCAAGACCATGCCAGTGGAGTAGATGTTGGCAAGAAGTATAAAGCAGTAGTTCAAAATATCACGCCAGGAGAATGGTGCACTTTTGTACAAATGAATCAGAAGGTCATATTATGCAACGAGTACCCTAAAAATGCAAGACATTTTTGTCCTTGAATACATCTAACAGAAAAAGAAAAAGCCAAAATATTTTGAAAAGAGACTCTGAGACATAAAGTTTACCTGCCAGAATAAGAGTTGTGCCCTCACTATGCAGACAGTAACTTTTCTCCAATGAAATCTAAATGAGTATCTTCAATGGATTAATGATTTTTTTAATTTACTTCTGCTGCTTAACAAATTAGCTTGAAATGTACTGGTTTAAAACAACCACTTCATTATGCTCAGATTCTGCAGGTGTGGGATTTAGGAAGGCCACAGAGGATAGTTCTTTTCTTCTTTCAATGTTCAACCTCTGTTGGGAGGACCCAGTGGCTGGTGGTAATTCAGTGGCTGGGTGCAAAGTCATCTGAAGTCATCTCCACTGGCATGTGGCATGTATGAGCTGGGACTAGCAATGGGAGCACCAATGCATGGCCCCTCCATGTGGTGGGCTTCTTCCGAGCATGGTGGCCTCCGGGTAGTTGTATTTCTTACTTAGTGACTCAGGTTTCTATGTGTGAGGGTTCCAGTTTACAAGCTAGAAGTTGAATTACGTTTTATGACCTAGCCTTGAATTCACATGGCATCACTTCTGCCACATTCTGTTGATTAGAAGTCAGCCAAAAGTCTTTCCAGATTCAAAGTATGGGAACTAGACTTTTCCCCACTCCCTTGATATGAAAATGAAAACATTCTAGAAGATCATCTGGGTTGGAGGACAGTGTTATGGCCATCTTTGGAAAACATAATCTTCCAGCCAATCATCTGGCCATAAAAATTTGCATTCTTTATAAATGCAAAATGTATTCTTTCTATTCCATAATCTCCCAAAAGTCTCACCCCATTATGGCATCAAACTCACATTTGAAGTCCAAGAACTTGTCATCAGATCCAGGTGTGGATGTGGTTCCCCGGGTACAGTTTTGTGGATACAACTACTTGAATGTCATTTTTAAACTGAGGAAATAGTGAGACAATTTGCCTTTCCTCCACATACCCAACATGTAATGGTCAAGCAAGCGTAAGATAAGCACTGTGGACACTCCCATTCAAACAGGAGGTAGACAAGAAAGTACACAGCAATTACCAGTCCTTAACAGTTCTGAAACCCACCTGAGTCCATGTTGCCGCTTCCTTAATTAGGACTCAGTTCTATTTGCTGGTAATTGTTTCTATGGCTCCTGACCCCATTGTCTAGGCTCTTGGTTTCACCATATGGCAATCTGCCATAATGTTAATAATGAATAAAATTAATAAAAGAAGCTATTCTGAGAAGAAGCTTACAACCCAATAGGAACTCATAGAACTGTTTAAGGATTTTCCTCCAAGGTGAGGGAAGTTCTATCCATAGATCTCCTAAGAAATGCCAAGAAATATACTTTTGATTCAAATGAAATGACATCTAGACCTTCCCTGAGGTACAGGAAAAGCTTGAAAGGCACTCTCAAACAAGGAATGACACTTGAAAAATGAAATATATTAGGGGATCTTCTTGAAACTTCCATCACAGATACCACTTCTCTTCTTCCCAAAATATGCCACTTTATAAAGTTTATCAACCAATGGTAATTATGAATTCTGTGGCTTTCATGCTATGGATTGCCGTGTGTCTATAGGAATGAAATTCTATGATAACCTGTCAATCTGAGTCTTGTATTCACAGAAACTTGTATTCAATTTTCCTCTTCATACTCCTGGAAAGAAAATATTTCAGATGTCTGAATTAGTGTCCTATAGGCATTAACCCCACCAGGGACTTGGAAATCAGAGAAATCCTGGGTTTCGTTGTTAGAGTTCTCCAGGCTAAATTTAGTGAACAATTACGCAAAGACACTAGAATAGCTGTGTTCTATAAAATATTTGGAAATAAACTGTCCTACATACCTATGATATGGCCTACATAGAGTTTGTAGGATCACCTGGAATTAAAACCATCCCACTGTCATTTGTTCATTCATTCAAAAACACGTACTTAAATCATAACATGGATAGGCACTGGGATAAATGCAAAGAATAAAATACAATCTTTTTCCTAATTAAGGCAGTTTGATAATAAGGGTAAGTATGTTTGCTCAACTAAATATATAGGCATTCATGCATTCATTAACAAGGTGGGGTGATATTTTTCAAAAGTAGTGGCCTGAGTTGAGGTACCCTAAAAAAGGGCCATCTTCAACTTGTGACCATAACAATGAGGTTACATGAAAAGGAGGGACTGGAATGAAAGGATGCTAGATTCTTGGGTACATGAGTGTTTTATATAGAAGCTCTGGTAGCATAGTGCTTAAGGCATTTGACTGCTAACCAGAAGGCTGGTGATTCAAATCCACTTCTCGGAAAGAAGATTGGGCAATCTACTTCCAGAGTGATACTGCCTCAGGAACTCAAGAAGGGGTCGCTGTGAGCCAGATCCGACTCAATGGCAGTGAGTTGGCTTGGTTTGGCTTGGTTTGGTTTGGTTTGCTATAATACTCAGGGACTTGTGTGGATATAGTTTATTTAGGTGGTGAAGCATTCAGCACTTGGCCGCTCACCAAAAGTTTGGCAATTC